TACAAAGTAAAGAAATAAATTTACATGTGAGTCACATTAAATATAGTATATGCCATAAAATGTGTGTTTACACTTAACTATTTATATATTTTATTATAAAATTTATGATATAAAGACGAGGGAATTGAAAAAAGAAAATGATGTCTCATCCCGTTTCAAAAATGATAAAGTGACAACTCTCATTTTAATTAATATAAAAAGAAGTAAAAAAAATCAAAATTCTAAAATAATAAATTTAAATTTTACATAATCATTCTGCCATTTACATCATCCCAATTATTATAGTAATTATAAAATTTTAAAATTATCTTGTGTAAGATATATGAACTACAATTTCATTTTTATTGAGAATTGGTCATACTAGAACTAATCTAATAATAAAATTAAAAGCCTTCTTTTTAATATGCATGATTACTTATGTAATGTACTGAGGGTTAGGTGAATGGTGAGGATTAAGGGAGGAGTAGAATGAAGGGCTGAGGTTAGATGATAAGGTAAATATAAATAGGGGTGGGTTGAGAATAAAAGAGAAAATATGAAAAAGAAAGAAAATGAAACAGGAGAGGAGAGATTGGGCTAGGTCGGATTACTAAGGAGAAGGGAGATTAAGGAAGTTTGGAAGGAGATTCAAGAGAGGGAGTCGAAGAGAGCTACGAGTGAAGGTGTTTTACAAGTCTAGGGAACGATGGAAGCCAGAAGTAAACAAATTCTCAATTTCGAATTTGGTAAGGTGATATAGTGTGAGTCTCTATCTGGTCAAGTTGGTGGTTGATTCATGATTTGAGGGCATATAGAGGTGGAACATGATGAATAGAGTTGCTTAGTGGAGAGTGGAATGAGGACACAAATTGTGGGCAAGAGTGCTAAGGGGGGTATGTTTAGGTTTAGGTTTAGTGAAGGAGAAGATGAGTTAGAAGGAGTGTAAAGTAGGGATTGTATGTGAGAGAGAGAGTCTACAGGAAACTGGAACGGTGATGTGAGCTGTCGTTTCGAGATGTTGAGGCGCCGATGTTGGTGCTGTGAACTGGAGATGCGCTGATGTTGGCAACGATAAAGAGAAATTTGACGAGCCAATGCCAGTGTTATAAAAAATAAGTGTGTGTGTGTAGGCTACTGGTGGCCAGCGTGTGTGAGTGTGCACTGAATGTGTGATTTCGGGAAAACCTGGACTGTATGTATATGTGTATGATGATGTTGTTTGTGTGTGGCCGATTGGGCTAGTGTGTGTGAATGTGGATTGAGTTCTATAAATTCTGGTTTGGTGATTGCCTAAACGAGGCGGTGTGTGCATGTATGTGTGGTTGTGTGTGCGTGAGCGACCGAACTAAAGTCAGTATATATTTGTGTGTATATATATATATGGTAATTTCAGTTGATTGGAGTGTATTGACAGGATTGAGACTGGTGTATACTGTCATTGTATGATGTGTGATGGTTAAAGTGATATCCTATGAATGTGTGGCCATTGCAGGTCGGCATGGGGGTACAAAAAACATAAGGGATATGTTCTATAGGTAATCTGATAGTGGCACTGTTATAGTGTGGAGGTGTAGGGTGAGTGAATGTAGTGTGGGGTTGGTCTGAATGTGGTATGATGGCCTTATCATATAAGTGTTACTAAATGGTCATAAGGGGAAATGAGGGTAGTAGCAAGTTGTGAGTGTAGGGGTAGTGTCGAGTTAGAGATTCAAATATATTTTCATGCTTTGTTTGAAATTT